GAAGTTGATCCCTTGCTCCCAGCCACCCCAACAAGACTTGTTTCTTCTCTACCTCCCAGTGCCACAATGTATAAAATGGTGTGAGTTGCATGCTGGGATACCTACTCATGGTGCACTACATTGTGCATCATCACAAGTGCTCCCTGGTGAGTACATGCACTGCTGATGCAAGGAGTCAAACATGCACTTGTCTTGGATGGCAGTCACCTTTTACATCACTTACACTCCTCAGATTGCACATGAGAGGTGATGAAATTGTGATGTACAAATTGCAAAGTAATCTAGAGAACCAAGAATTCAAAGGAACTGCTCTTTTCTCTCAGTTTGCTGTGGAATACTACAGCTAAACAATTCTACCTGAATCACTTCTTCTTAAAGCCCAGCAGGAACTACAGTAACTAAGCGAACCATCTGTTAACTAAGGGCTAAATTATATCTTGGGAAAGGAAAAGCCATAAATGGCCTAGAAGGGATTTAGTGGAAAGACAGGGAAAACAGAACAATGGCCAGCAATTACCTGACATTGAGGTGTGGGCTAGATTTTGGTCTTCTTGAAAGCAAAGGCAAAACTCTCATTGATTCCATTAGGATCAGACTTTGGCCATTAGTAAAGGCAATACAAACAAAAACTTTGTGCTTCAACTAACTTATTAAAAAAAATTCCTGCCTAGTGAAAAGGAGAGGAGCCAGAGGAAAGGAATGGAATATGAGATTAAATCCAATGTTAAGTATGAATGTCAGATTCCACCTAAATCAATTTTGTCAGAAATTACTTAAGATGGGTTTAATGTGCAACTGATTGTCTGGCTGAAACAGATACTACCTCACTGAAGTATCTTTTATTGGACTAGCTTCTATTTCTCTCATCAACAGGAGTTGGTCCAATAAAAGATAAGATCTCACCCACCTTGTCTCTCTAATTTCCTGGGACAGACATCGCTACAACAACACTGCATAGATACTTCTATGATCCTGCATGCCTCAAAATGCTACTACTCCTGCAAGTGGTGCTGACTAAGACAGGATTTGGATATACAGCTTTGTCATGGCAATTACAAGCCCCCTACCAACAAACAGTGGATTTCAGTGATTTCTCTACTATGGCTCTTAGGCCCTTTGCAATGTGTCTTATGGGATCTTTGATAAATCACACTCCTCAAACAACTGGCTCAATCCATATATTTTTTTTTCTACCTAATTTTAGTCCCCTAGTGAGGCTTTTTCATCAAACAGACTCTGGACCAATATAATGTAACTTAGCATAAGGTCCAACTTGTGTAAATTACTCTACAACCATTAATTTTAATGCAAAGGAAGCTGTCCATATAGTCATGTCAAATTATTTTCAAGCTTCTTGCAGAGGACTCTGTAAGGGCAGGACTGCTGCTTTCCTGATGCTAAAAATAATCACTGCAAATTAATCTTTAATGATTTTTTTCAGCTCAGCAAATAGAGCAAAAAATAATTTACCTTGAATATTTCCAGTTCTACAATATACTCTGTCTAATTTTGCTTTACAGGAGAAGAATGTGGTGCCTACGGCACAGCTTCCCACTGAATTCCCCATGTGTCTTCTCTCTGGTTAATGGCTGGCATCTAATCTATATATAGCATAGCATAGCACAATAAAAACAATACCTGCATTCAGCACATATAGTTGATGTCAGCAGTTGATATTTCATGGCATCATGGGAACTGAGAAGAGAAAGAAATGGAAAAGAAAGAGAGAGGAGGCCTCTTGCCCCCTCACTTCACATAACTTCCTCTGCTGCCAGATGGAAAAGCATGGGAATCTTTCCCCCGAATCTTGAGATCACCATCTTCAGATCCTGGCATGGTCACATCTGTTTCCCTGATTTCCTACTTTTCTGCTCTCCTTCACCTGCACTCTACCCGCTGTCTTTGTAAAACTTCCTGAGATGCAGTTTCTGCCATTTGATTTTACATGGCAAGGCAGAGTTCTCCCCTTCTCATGATTACTTGGATTTTCGTTACTACCCAAAAGGTGCTAGGCACTTTAAAACACCGAGGAAGGCAGCCTCTCTTTTGTAAAGACCTCATAGGCTACTTAGTAGTTTTCATGTCAAAACCAACCCCTGACACAAACAAATTTCCTTAAAGTTAGTGGATAATAAAGGTTGAGCTCCCCCAGGGCCCAGAGGAAGCCAGCACCTGTGCAAATTGGCCTACCTCAAACATAAGCAGCCACACTGCAATAAGTAGGTATAGAAGGATTAAGATTTTGTGGGTAAATCTTGATTTCATCCTACATACAAAACAGAAAATATTATCCTTGATTACTGAAATGTAGAACTTATTAAGGATATTTACTTGGTATATTTAGATATGTGATACTGACAATTTGCGTTTTAATGGTTTCAAAGTTTTTCCTTTTGACTCAATAGCTACTTTCATTAAATAATTGTATAATTCTCTCCTAATAATTACCTGCAACTGTGAACATTTAAATAGATAAAAAAAATATTTAAAATCCAGTTTTGTGCAACTGAAAATGGATAAAACTGGAAACAAATGCCTAAAATTAAATTCAATCTAAATAGATACCTATCAAAATTGTATAGCCCTCCCCTTGCATCAAATTCCTTCAAGCCTAGAGCTACACACACAGGTTATGAATCTACACTCACCCCTGTGAGGCACTAAGACTTCCACAGGCACATCCTATAATTGTAAGCACAGCAGCAACCTGATCAACACTGAATGCTTTCACAGTGCACTGTGGGAGAATTAGTATGTTCCTTCCGAGCATACAGTGGGACGGCACTAGCAGCACTTAGTGGAGCTAGTCTGGATTCGCACAGTGGTCTGCGGGTACGTTGGCAACTGAGAAGTTGTATACACCCCCTCAGGCTTTAACCCATTCCCCTGACAGGCCAGACAACTCAAGTTTAAAGCATCACCACACTAGAGTTAAGGGCTTGTGCCTGCAAATAGGGGATGACTTAGTACCAATCTTTGAGTTATAACTTGAGTTAATCCTGCAGTGAAAGCAGTCCCTAAGTGGGATACCGTAACAGTTGTACTCTCCTGGTGTGCTTCAGTTGATAGCCACCTCTGCTCCTCTTCCACCACACTATGCCCTTTAAACAGTGGGGGAATGGGACAGCAGCAATGCATTTTCAATTATAAGCCCTCAGTGTTGAAACATAGGGTACGTCTAGACTACATGCCTCTGTCGCCAAAGGCATGTAGATTAGGCTACCAGACATAGTAAAATGAAGCGGCGATTTAAATAATCGCCGCTTCATTTAAATTTACATGGCTGCCGCGCTGAGCCGACAAACAGCTGATCAGCTGTTTGTC